ATGGAGTCCACAGTGTTGGGCGAAAGGAAATTTCCGAAAACGCCCAACATGACCACAAACTGCCCTTTAAAATGGTTGAAAATATATAAAAAATATATAAAATAAAAGCAACTTAAACTGTAAAATGTAGGTAGTTAAATGAATAAACATTTGCCCCTTTATCTTATCTTATCATTTTATTTATTGATAGAAATCATTCCCAATTCTATTGTAGGAAATCCACTAAGGAAGTCAAGGCTCATCCGAAATCCCGACAGCTCTTGGCCACCCATTCAGGGTATCCCCTTGGCTTTATCAACCTATTCATTCTGGCTAAATTTGCCCAATGCTAATATACCATTTGTCAGGCCATTTAATGGTCGCCGGGCGGGAAAGGACACGACTCGCTGTCTGGGGTCAGCCCCAATGTTGTTCCAAGGGTTTTTATCTGCGCCCCTTTATTTATGCATCCTGCCACTTCAGCCCCACGACATTCTGCTTTTTGTGCAACTTAATTAAATTAGTAGTAGTGTTGAGTGCAGAGTGCAGAATGCCGCATTAGACAATTGGCTGGTCCCTCGAAAGAGGCTGAAACATTTATCAAATCTTCGTGTATTTATTTTTAGTTTTTCTTTTTGTAGCGAACCATCTATCAAAATACAATCAAATCACCTTGAACCCCGGGGCGGGCTGATTAAATGAAAATTTGTCAGGGCCAGCTGCTGCTGCTGAGCCCCAACGCAAACACTATTAATTTTGGCACAACAATGGGTGGATGAAGGATACACCTCTGGCCCTCCTTCCGATGGCCCGTCACTCTTGTTCTATCGACTAAGCTACACATGGATGGCGCTTTCGCCTGAAAACTTGGCAAGGCAAGTTAGAATTTAAGCCCTCTTGACATTTTGGCAACGCTTGCACTTTATAAAAATTAAATATTTATCTATAAAATCAACAAAAAAGATATCTTACCAATATGTCTGCCTTATTATTATAAGTTTTTATTTACAAAATCAAACACTCTTATCTCCGTTCGATGTCGGTGTGATAACCAAGCCATAGAGTTTACCAGTCTATTTCTTTGGGCTAACAGAGGTTTGGCCTTTTTACTATTATCTATTTGAGGAATCATAAATCTTCTTTCGATGTTATATAGATACTCCCTGACACTTTGCAAAGTGTTTCTCTAAGTGCAGTAAAAGCATCCAAAGGAGGAAAAACTGCAACGACGTTAGTGGCAGTAGCAGTAGCAGTATCCATGTCTATGCCCCCTGTCTATATGTATTTTTGTGTGCATTGTCGTGTCGTGGCCATGAATATTTAATGAAATTAGCTTAGGAATCTTACAACATTTTGCCGCGTTTTCTCTGCCACATAGCGGACCCACGTGTTCGCCCTGGAATGGTGGAAAAGTAAGGGGAAATGGAGAAAAACCCACGATGCATGTGACGCCCACAAATATGCAAGGATAATGACGCTGGAGAGCTTCCAGGCGAAGGATAAGACCCGTTTCTGTGCAGTTAATTTACTCATTTTCCATTCAGAATTTATTACAGGCCATATATGCAGAGGGAAAAACTTAATTAAGCTGCAGTTGACTTGATATCTACAGCTAACTTTTCCCATTTAGCATTCAGATTTCAACTTTTCTAGTTAGACTTTACACAAATTCTGATGATAAGTTTAGATAATCGAAATGTGTTTAAGCTCTGGTGTCACATTTTACATAGAGATTGGTTACTACACATTTTTGCAATAATTAACGCATATATTTTGTGGCTTGGAATAATTAATAAACGGACTCCGCCCAAACTGCAAACTTTATTAATTAATAATTTCCGAATCATCCTGCACCTCAAACAAACCCGAAACCGAAACCGCTGATGCTGCGAATTAGCATAGATTATAGCGACCTGCTGCTCACCTGTTTGTTTAATAAACAACGATACCAAAGCGAAATTCACGCAGATGCATTGCCATATGTGGCCGGAAAGGAATAGCGTTTTCAATAAATTTTCATGCAGCAAAAGCAGCCATATTCTCGTAATAAATTGAAAATTGCGTTGCGAAATGGATGATAGAAGCCCTTTCGGGGCATGCAACGCATTTCGCGTTAAGTCAATACAGAAATGCCACCGCTGCCAGCATAAATCATAAATGGCAAATGTATCGCCAAACCACAAGCTAGGGGGGATATATACATATATAGGATCTGGGAGAATGTAGAAGGGTGGATAAGCTCTCCATATTGAAACAGATGCTGCAAACTGAAAGTGTTCGATGGCAAAAAGAAGAGCTCCGTGGTGGAAGCCATTGCAAGGGAAAACTTTATGGCATATTAAGTTTCCATATATAAAGTAAGCCACTTTTATTCCAATCCATTATCATATTTGAAAGTTCTTTAAAAAACATTTATTAAACACAATATTGTTTCAAGAGGGAAGTTTACTTAATCAAAATAAGTCTTAAGTTTTTCAGTTTTTTTAAGTATAGTAAAATCAAAACCCAATGTATATTTTATGCCGCTCTCAAAATAATCATCCTGAATCTCTTAGCCATCCGTAAACGAGTTTTCATGCTGTTTTCCTAGACCTTTTCCGCCCAAGTGGGGGGTACTAAGTACATATACATATACAAGAAAAATGGCTTCAACTTATTGTTAGTTTCGCCCTGTTATCCTTGCACTTGCAGGCAGCTCCTGCGGTTGCGCCTGCTGCTGCTGTTGACACGAAAAAAATGTATATAAGAGGCGCCCCCCTGTCGACAATTGTATGAAAGGAATATAATAATACTACAGGCTGCACATAATGATATAGGGGCCGCGGCAAGACGACAAAATGGATGAAAATGGGAGAAAAGTGGGCGGCAAAAACTCTGATGATTATGAGTCTGTCGCGAAAGAAGGCGAAAGCACCAGAGTCTCTAAAGGATACAAAATGGGGCATCTATCGTTGTGCTACCCTTTATACATTTTCAAATATACTTTAACAACTACAACTTAAAGGTAATGCGACTATTTTTTGTGTTGATAATATTTAAGAGGGTAACCCATTGTCGATCATTTGCCTCAAAACCTTAGTTATCCGTTTCGGAAGGCTCCTCAAGGACAAGCCATTGAGTGCTGTTTGGCTAGTCCCTCATTCTTGAGCACATAATAATAGTTGTACCTCAGGAATCTCGGTTCTAAAGTCTGAACTTGACTTGAGGACATTTGGCCGCATTTGGCGTGCAAATCAAAATTTCATAGCCAGCCAACGAATGGAGGAAAACTGTGGCAGTGGTGTACGGTTGGGGAAAAGTAGAAAACTTTTAGATAGAGGAAAGTAATTTCATGTTGAGCGACAAGTGGCAAGGTAATTTATCAATGGCAAAACAAACCTGTCACGAGCGAAAGTTCTTCAAGCAGACACGCGACTGCGGTTGTGGTCTCCCAGCCACTCACAATCACCCAGGAAGCCACCCAACTCTCGAATCACACACGTGGTGGGTCATAAAAAATGTATTACCAAATTTGCTCGAGCTGCACATATCGACGAAGTACCGCGAGCCAAAAAACCTCAAGAAGAATGTGGCTCATTTCTGTCACGGACATTTCCGTGGCCAGTGAGAAATGGCTTCACTCCTTCGGCGATTTCCGGACGGAGCTTTAATCCCTTGATTGGGATTGAGAGCTCTTCGGGTTTTTACGGCCGTTCATCGTAATAGCGTGCAGATTGGCTCATAAGCAGAATTTCCCTGTCTTTCGAGTGGGATGTGGAAAAGTACTTGAGAAATTCACTCATTAGCCGATGGACAGTACATTAAAGCTGGCTTACTTAACCTGGAAAAGTGTGAGGACTAAAATGTCAATTACCGTATAGGACGTTGAAATGTAGGGCTATCTAAAAGGAGTTCCTATAGGAATTCTTAAAGTACAATCTAATTAATGAAGTTAGTAATAGATCAGAGAAAGAACCAAGCATTTTAATTTAAAATTTTGGGCAATAGATGTAAAACCAAAATAGAGAATTAAAAGTGAAAGAAAAAGAAAAAGGCAGCTAATGCTCTGCTATTTTGTTTCCTTTAAAGTCGTTCTAAGCCCAACAGATTTTTGTTCACTCTCTTTTACTCCAATCCAAATCGACTTCTTCCCTCTTACTCTTCGAATTTACTGTACATCTTCGACATAACTGTTTTTACAGCTATACAGAATGTTGTTTCGCTCCGTGCGATTCTGGTTCAATTTTACACATCATAAAATGTCGTGGGGCATCGATTCTTTTCGCAATCCAAGAAAATCAATGCGAATCCAAAGAATATGCATAATTTATACAAACGAGGGGAGATCATCCCACTGCTGGCTTACTTAACCTGGAAAATTGTGAGGACTAAAATGTCAATTACCGTGTAGGATTTTAAATTATAGGGCTATCTAAAAGGCATTCCTATAGGAATTCTTAAAGTACAATCTACTTAATGAAATTAGTAATAAATCAGAGAGAGAAATCAAGCATTTTAATTTAAAATATTGGGCAATAGATTTAAAACCAAAATAGGGAATTAAAAGAGAAAGGAAAAGGCAGCCATTACGCTGTTTTTTTGTTTCTTTTAAAGTCGTTCTAAGCCCACGGAGTTTTGTTCCCTATCTTTTACTCCCTTTCAAATCTACTTCTTTTCTCTTACTCTTTGAATTTACTATACCTCTTAGACATAACTGTTTTTACAGCTGTATAAAATGTTGTTTCGCTCCGTTCGAATCCCGTTCAATTTTACACATCATAAAATGTCGTGGGGCATCGATGCCTTTCGCAATCCAAGGAAATCAATGCGAATCCACAGAACATGCATAATTTATACAAACGAAGGGAGATCAGCAAACTGAATCCACCCAAAGGACAGCCCACAGCCACCCACACACAAGCAATAAAATAAAAACCAAATTGACAAACATTTGCCGTGGGAGAATGTTAGGCGAAAAAGAGCCCACCATCTGTTCATAAATAAATAATTTCGTAATAAAATTAAGAGCTCGGCTTTCTTACCTTCGCCATAATGGTGCTCTCTGATAAGGAATTCCAAAGGTAAATTAGGCCGACGGCTTTTGTATTTCTTTCTGTTTCTTAAAGGCGAAAAAAAAATCTTTTGTTTCTTGTAATTAGTTTACAACAATTAGGGTTGTTTGATTTATTTTACAATAATTACATTTATTTCGGTTTTTTATTACATTTTATTTTGGTAAATTATAACGGTAAACGATGACGCACACAATCACGAAGCACACGGCTTAAACTTTATATTTACGTTTATAACAATTTTCTTTAGATATTTTTGTTTTTTATTTTTTATTGATTTCAGCGCGGGGTTTCTGCAATAAATCTGCTATTTTAAAAGAAATATTTTTAGCGGACAAACATTTTCCGCAGACACATCCTACACCGCGATAAAAGTATTTTTCACTAAAAGTTCGAGCCGTTTTTCACAGCGACAAGAGACGATAATATGACTATCGATATACCTATGCAAAAACCAAGCCCGGGAACGGAGCTTTTCTCGTTCTGCTGCCACTGTTAAAATGTTGAGATTCACTCTTCTAACAGCGGCAATCGATGAGTCGATAGGACTTCGCTACATCCTTAGTTAAGACTCAAACCCAAACAGTTTTAGGTTTCCTTTTATATCTAGCTTAAAACATTTTATACCAACTTATTGTGGCGTAGAGCATGAGTAAGAGGATCATTTTTTATTTGAAACTGGTACGGAGAAGTAACAAGTCGATACGTTCCCAAAATTAACATACATTAGAAACCAAATTCCTTAGAACCAAATAATTCTACAATCCTTCCCTGGAGGTACATTTTTTTTTTGACCAATACACCTTCCAAGGCGGAAGGTCGAATATAATAATTAATCCATTTGATCAATTTTCGTATTCATATGTTTTACAATTAAAGCTGTTTTATTAACTATTTTCATCGATCGCTGCACAACTAGGATTTCGATCCATTTAACGAACTGGGACCCAACTTTCCAGAACTTGACCATAGGTCTTGCGATCTGAAAACAAAAAATGCCTTTAGTCCAAGAGCACAAAAACACCACAAAGGACTCACCTTTCACAGGAAAATCGTCGGGATGCAGTTCAATATAGTGTCGGAGGACGGCGTCCCTTTTGGCCAAATAGTCGTTCCTTTTCTGATCGAAATATGATCCGGCAACGAGACCGAGGACTCCAAAGGCAACATGCTTCTGGATGCCTGCAAAAAAAATTAGTTTTTCATTAGTTATGTTCGACAAAAACAATGTTACGTCACAAGGAAACGAGGCGAAATCGTACCGGAAAACACGGGTCTGCGGAAACCCCAATTAACGAAAATGGCCACGCCCACTCCGGCCACTCCGCAGGCAAGGGGATTCCATATTGGCGACAGAAAAGTGGACTGGCGGTTGCCCTTGTTCGACAATAATTCCAGCGGATCGTTTACGGCGCTCATGTTGATAGTAAAAAACAATAGAGGTGGGCAACTAATGGAAATTGTGACGGCAGTCGTTTTCGTGCCGGGGCTGTCGACTATCGATAGCACTCGAGAAGAACTAGTTCGGAAACCATTCCTAAAGGTGTTCTTTAAAAAGAATTACTGTTAAAATTTAACACACAATCAAAGCAAAATATATTTTTAGAAAAATCACTCCTCTGAATCTCTATCCGACTAAATTCTTATAATTTTCAATAAGTTTGTATTTTCAAATAATAGAGTATAAATTAACATAAATAATATTCCTAATACTCCAAAACAGCAATGAAATATAATTTTATTAAATAAATTAACATAAATTGAATATTTGTATATTTAAGCTAACTTAAAACGTATTTTTAAGAAAGCTCATTGAGAATCAGATAAAAGCAGGGCATTGGGTCTGGAAAGTTCAGTTGCTTAGTAAATCGGATCGGAATAAAGCAAGTTTAAAAGAAATAAGAAAATGCCAAATTGGGAAAGCAAGTGAAGACTACAGTTCATTTTTAAGGTTAATAGAGAAAAAAAGATTTCTGAAAAAAACATTTTGATAAAAATAAAGAAATTAGATATGTGAACTTTAAAAATAAAAACAATATTGAACACTTTATATTTAATTTAGTTATTGGCTTGGGTTATCCTTAACAGATACAAATGTTTCCCTAGAAAAGGATTAATTTGTAACGCTCTTCAAAAATCTAAAAGTTCCTACGTGATAAAGTATAATTTCTCACTCCTCATCTGAATATTTGGGTTAACGTTTTCAACAACACGAATTCCAAACAATGAAATGTAAATAAAATATTTAAATTGCCATAATTTTAATATTTTAATATTTAACTTAACAAAAACGTGACCTCTTTTTTATAGAAAAGCTAAGCTTCGTCGCATATAAAAGCCGGAAATTGGATCCCAATATTGGAGTTACTTTTAAAATCTGATCGGAAACGAAACAAGTTTAGAATGGTGAAGCTGGCAGCATTTGTGTTCTGCATGATAGTGTCTGGGTGTTCTTATCCTGGCATCCTGGTGGGTTCTTCGAAGTCTCATGCACATCACAAGGAAGAAATGGAGTGCAACGCATACTGCTTCAAATCGGTAGAGCCAACCTTGGAGATCATCCAATCTGTATCCGATAAACTTCATGGCCTTAGGATAATGAAGAGGTTCGAGAAAATCGGGTCGGACTGGTATTATATGGAAAACCTAAATAAGCTAAATTGGAAATCTGCGATTAGCTTCTGTGAGAAGATAGGGTCTAATCTGCTCGTTATTGAGGACATTTGATGAGTATAAAGCCCTCTTGGAGAAAGTGTCACGGCAGGCAAAATATTGGCTGGGACTCGGCAATCATGGAAAGGGCGCAAATTACACCACGATTAGCGGAGAGCAAGAATTGGCTAACTTTTATACAGAGTATAATGGGCCTCCCGATCATTGCACCTATTTCTCCTATATTGAAACGATGAATGTTCGCTGTAGTAATGCCTTGGCCCTACATTTGCAAGTTAAAAGAAAAAATCATTTCACCTGAAATATTTGCGAAACAAAAATGAATTATTCTAAATGTCTTCATATTTCTATATTTCAACATAGAAAATCCAAATAAAAAATTTGAAGAGTGGTTAAAGTTAAAAATTAAATTTTCATATTCTCAAATTAAGATTGCATTTCAAGTTAACCGGGGTGAAGGTTTCATTTCCAATAAAAACTGTCTAAAAATGACATCTAATTGCATTTCTAGCCTTTCTGCTTGAAATCTAACTTAAGCACTCCAATAACTACTGTAATGATATACAAAAGTAATAAATAAACCATTTAATATTTATTTCGACTGTAAGTACTGCTCTTGAATGAAATTATATTAATATCCATAAAATATTATCCCCAGAAAAAGTTTCGTTACTCTTAGAGTAAAAGGGTTGTATTTGTTGTAAGGTAGTAGGAGGAAGCGTTTCCCACCGTATAAGGTATATATATTCTAGATCAGGATCAATAGCCGAGTCGATTCAGCAATGTCCGTCTGTCGCCATAAACGTTAAGATGTCAGAAACTATAAGAGATACAAAGTTCGGACTAAGCATTTATATTCTTGAGATGGCAGCGCATCATAGGGTGTTCCGTCCACGCCGACTGCTTCGCCCACCAATCGCGAAAAACGGCTTGTGGAATGCTGAGATCTAACTATAAGTGATAGAAAATTTAAATTAAGCATGCAGTTTCCAACGATGCCGCCAACGATTATTATCCGTATCTTACCAAAGCCTCTTATATATAGTGCTAAATTAACATTTCCATATTTAAATGTCTTAAGAAAATACAGCTATCGATAGGACTCAAGAAGAAGTAGTTCGGAGACCTTCCTAAATCATTAGTTTCAAATATTCTCAGATAAATTATTCGATATTCCCTAGATCTGACCTATGTAATATCCTATAATCAGTAGATATTTTCAAGTAGTACAGTATAAATTAACAAAAATATTATCTTATATTAAATAAATTAACATAAATTGAATATTTGTATATTTAAGCTAACTAGGAACGTGACCATGTTTTGTAAGAAAGCTCATCGAGACACAGATAAAACCATGAAATTGAGTCCAAAAATTTCAGTTGCCTTAGTAAATGGAATCGGAATAAAACGAGTTTGAAATGCTAAAGCTAGCAGTAATTGTGATCTACCTGATAGTAGCTCATCAATCTGTGGTGTCCCACCAAAAATGTGATATGGAAACCCCGTGTGATGCTCACTGCTACCTGAAGATTAAGCCCGAACTGCTCTACGTGGCACAGTTGAAAAATCAACTGGCTCTGACTAAGGCCAGGCCGTCTGAGACGGTCGGATCGGGAGTTTATCATATAGAACATGCACGGGAATTAAGTTGGAAAAATGCAGAGGAAGCCTGTAAAAAGATGGGAGCACATCTAGCCGTTATCGAGGACGAAGAGGAGCTTCACGCCCTCGTGGGGAACATTTTGAATCAAGACTACTGGCTGGGACTCAGATATGACCCCAACGAATCTAAGTTTGTGACTGCGATGTCCGGAAAGCCAGCCCCCTTCCTTAAGTGGTATGATAAATCGGACGCCCATCGTAATTATTATTATGAATGCGTTTATCTGACAATTAAAAATATGAAAACTGTGCAATGTTCGAGTGCAAAACAGTACATTTGTGAGTTTGGAAAGGAAATCTAAAACACATATACACATAAATACAGTCGTATTGCTAAAATGACAAATTAAACAATAAAATTCGGAAAATATTAAATGGCTTTGTTTTCATTCTTAGAAGATTTACCAAAATAAATGTCTAAATATTCCTAAAAAAAAGTCTCCACAAAGTAGGAGATGGATACCTTGATTTTCGTTTCAAGGACAAGTAGAACCTATAAATATTAACAACACAGGTTTCACCAATACTAAGCCTTTAAAAATCGAATATTTTGCATGTTCTGAGATAAAATATATAACCTTTTAAATAAATATACATAAACTGAGTTTAACTGAAAACGTGACCATGTTTTTATACAAAAGCTCATTGCGACAACTATAAGAGCAAGGAACTGCGTCCCAATATCTCAGTTGCCTCTTCAATTTGGTCCGAACGGAATCAACTTTAAAATGTTGAAACTGGCAGTAGTTTTGTTCTGCGTAATAATAGCTAATTGTCCTTGTGGAAATCTGGCAGATTACCACAGATGCCAAGAACACGACTACTGCAAGGAGTACTGCTCCGCGACAGTAGATCCATCTGAAGACTACTTACAAGAGTTAAGGGACGAATCTAGAGCACTTTGGCGCATGCCGCGAGCCGAAAGGATTGGTAATAGATTATATTATATCTCACACGGACATGGAAAATATTGGATAAAGGCCACTGAATTCTGTGAAGAGATGGGAGCACATTTAGCCGTTATTGAAGACGATGACGAGCTCAACACCCTCAAAACGAGACTTGAACCGGAAACATTTTACTATGTGGGTCTCAAATATGACAAGACGAAAAGGAAATTTGTATCTTACGCCCCCGGACAGCCAGATGCATTCATAAAGTGGGAAGGGGGTCAACCGAACGATGATTATAAGTATAATCCATGCATGCTACTGTCAACGCATAATATGAGAAATAGCGACTGTGCCCATGAAGACAACTTCATATGTAAGGTTAATATAACTTTTTCTCCAATTTAAAAAGAAAAGGATTTCCAAAAACATACAAAAATGTAAACTTTTAAAATAAAAACAATATTAAGCTGCTTATATCCGAATTGGTTATTTCCGTGGGGAATCCCTAACAAATACAAATATGTATCAAGAAAAGAATGAAATTACATTCATAACTTCTTTCCAAAAGCAGTGAGTTTCTGGTAGATAATGACAGTGACTACGTCTTAGAGTCTAATTCAGTCTTCATCTGAATATTTGTGCTAACGCTTTCAACAACACGAATTCTAAACAATGAAATGTAAATGAAATATTTAAATTGCCATAATTTTAATATTTGCATATTTAAGGAAGCGGAAAACGTGACCTCTATTTTATAGAAAAGCTAAGCTTCGTTGCATATAAAAGCCGGAAACTGGATACCAATATTTAAGTTGCTTTTTAAATCTCATCTGGAACGAAACAAGTTTAGAATGGCGAAGCTGGCAGCATTTGTGTTCTGCATAATAGTGGCTGGGTGTCCTTATCCCGGCATACTGGTGGGTTCTTCGCATAGTCATGCAAGTCACAAGGAAGATCTGCACGGACACTGCAACGCAAACTGCTTCAAATTGATGGGGCCAATCAGGGATCATATCAAAGCCTTAGAGCGTGAACTTGCTTCAGTTAGGATAAAGAACAAAATCGAGAAGATCGGCTGGTCCTGGTATTATGTCGAACACATAAGTAAGCTGAATTGGACATCTGCGATTAGCTTCTGCGAGAAGATAGGGGGTCATCTACTCGTTATTGAGCAAAAAGATGAGTTCAACGCCCTCAAGAAGAGATTGGCACACATAGGACAATATTGGCTGGGACTCACCAATCATGGCAAGGGCGCCACCATGACCACGCTGGCCGGAAAGCCGGCTCCCTACCTTCAGTGGCCTCAATATCGTCATAATGACGGGCATCAATATCAATGCGCCTACTTTTTTCTTGGTAATATGTGGACCACTGCGTGTGCTGACGACTTGGCGTACATTTGCAAGATGAATTACAATAAATGAAAGCATTAAGCATTTGCACGAATAACGACGCTAATGATATGCAAAATTAATAAATATACAAATTAATATTTTAGTCCACTTTGAAAGCACAAAATGCAGAGCGAAAAGTTCAACCTAAAACTTCTCAGTTGGGTTGTGTTTATTATTTAAGGATCCAGAAAATATTAACCCCAGCAAGTTTCGTTTGATATATTTATTTTAAATTTATATTTTTACCATTACAATATCAAGTTTAACATTAAGAGGCATGCAAGACGCGCTTAAGGCAATTTATAGCGTTCTATGGTGGCTGCCTGAAATCTGTAAACTTCAAGGCAAATATTTCGTTCAGTAACTTGTATTTCTGTTTTTAATAATATTAAATATGAGTTGCTCTTTAGTTGGGGCAACATCAAAGGCCAACGTAGAATATCGAACAGGCACAGGTATTACATTAGTTTTCAGATAAGGCCGTATCCTACCAAAGCCTCTAATATACAGCTAAATTTACATTTCCATATTTAAGTAACTTTATCTTAATAAAGTATAGGTCTTGCACACATCCGATGAGAATAGTAAATGAACTCATAAGTCAGAAACCGTTTTTATTTCAAAATAATAAATTTCATTTCCTTACTGCCGAAACGCAAAAAATCTTTATTTTAAAACAAATTCATAAAACTCCGAAAACTCTATTGTACGAATATGTTTATAAAAATGATAAATGTATATTTATATAAAAAGGGGAGTTCCTCCTCGTCTAAACAAAATTATTCACTCACTTAATATAACAAAAGATCATTGTTTGGAAAAAAATATATCGATTCAGTAATTATTTTCCCACTCCTAAATTTCGTTGGTATATTTTTTGTGGTTTTCGATTTGCTTACAACTTAAAATTAGTTAAACCATAGATTTAAATCAACTAAATTGAACGTTTAATTCGTTGATCAAAGGCAATAGGCAAACCGCAAATGAGAAAAATAAAACTTAAATTGCGCTTTTCAAAAATCATTTTGGGAAATGTATTGCAATAGTTTTTATCGTAACCTTACATCAATTTCATTTTGCTTGTGTACTTTAAGTTTTTAGGATTAATGAATTGTGTTTTTTGTTTTCGTTTTTGTTTTATATTTAAAGCAGCTTTGCAATGACACATAATTAGCACTTGAAATAGACTTGAACAGCAACTGTTTGCCAATGGGCATAGATCATTAATATTATAGCATGTAGATCATTGTAAATAGTTAAACCATTTCGTGATTGGTTTCTCAGCTCGCTGCTGTTTCTCATTACTTCGATTAAGCGTTAGGAATGACGTTCGCATAGAAAATCATACGATAAAGTATAAAATATAGGCAAAGGGCGGGTGTTTGGAGTAGCTTGCGTACATCTATATTTAAATCTGAAGAAGAGTTGCACACTTGCAACTAGGCTCTCTTCATTGTCCTGTCTTCTCTACGTCTTTTTCACACTTAGCTTTCACTCACTCGTACTCATTTAGCTACTGGTTTTGTATTGTTTTTCTTTCCGTTTCCATTGAGGAATCTCGCCTCGTCTTAAGCTTAGGATACCGAACTAATTGCATTATGTGGCGAACCCATTTGCGTGAGCACCTTATCTAGCCACTGGAGCGGCCCGTGCAAATGGATTTCGATCCAGCAGGGTGTCGAGGTCACATCCTGGCGATGGTATTCCGCACCCCAACCCTTCACGAATGACATTCGGATGGTACACATCTTCGTCAGCTCATAGACGGCCTCGAATCCATTGTTCACCGACTGCGACAGCAGCTGAGCAAATTCCTGGTTGTTGAAGATCTTCAGAGAGCAGCCCGGCGGAATCTTGCAAACGGTGCTCGGATGGAATCCATGGTGGTAGTTGCAGTTCCGCGACTGCACAAAAATGGCAGAGTCGGACAGGCACTCGGCGTACACCTCCCCGGTCACATAGTACAAATGGACGCCTTTGCCTAAAAAAGGAGAAACATTAGTAGAGGCTTCAAAAACTTTCGTCAAACGTGACTTTTTGCTCTTGTCTAACTAATAAATCTATCTCTATAACTGATAAAAAGTTTGCTGCTTATCTAACGATGATGCAATGATATGCCATAGGTGACGTTAACAAAGAAGGGAATTTCTTAAGAACCCACCTATATGACGGCGTGTGTTCTCGATGGTGCTATTCCTGTTCACATTGCTCAGCTGGCCAAGGCAACAGCGGTCCGAGTTGTTGGACGGATTCGTAAAGCCATCGACGATTACGGAGTTGTTGTTGCAGTGGAACACCTCGCCCACCCGGCAGTTAAGCTCATAGTAGGCAATCGAGGCCCAGAAGGCGGGCTCAGAATAACTGACCTGGGCGACATCGCCCATCTGAGCATCCAGCATCTGGCCACCATCATTGGGATTGTTCGAGTTCCCGTCCTCCGAGGGACTGTAGGCAGGCGGCGGTGTTCCCGCCAAACTTTCATACGGCGAGTTTGGATTGGAGTTTACGGAGCTCGGACTGCCCACCGATGTGTTGCTGGTGCCCAAGTTATGCGAGTTGAATCCACTGTTGGAGTAGCTGACATTGTGCGGCATACTGGGCTCGGCCACGTGGTTGAATTGGAGCATCGAGTGTCCGGGTGCGAATTCTGAGTGACGAGGAACGAGAACTGGCGGGAGAACCGGACTCTCCACGCGCTTATAGTGGTACGGATTAATGCAGACCTCCTTCTGCTTGGCGCTAAAAGGGATACTGGCATAGCTCGAGGGGCTTCAGTTCGTGGTGCGACTGCAGATCCGGCCATCGCCACACGCGGCAATAGATCACATGTGGCAGACCCTTGCGATGGGATACCTGAATAGGACATGAGAACAGAAAGTTAGTTCATAGTTCCAATATATAGCGATATAAGATAGAATTACTAACCTGTAATCGTCCGTCCAGCGATCGTGGAATGGTGACACACTTCGAAGGCTGACCAGGACAGGAGAGTGCTCGCTCCAGCTCCTCGATGGCGCCCTTGCGCTTCTTAAGCTTTTTCACCAGACTGTCAACGGCCTTCTCCGCCCACTTCTCCTCCTCGTCGCCCTGCTTCCAGCCCAGCAGCTTCTTAACTGCTGGCGATGTGAAGGAGAATAACGAGCCCAATGTGGACATGGCACTGCTGGTGTTTGATTCCACATCGTCGGTGTCCATTCTGTGGCTGATGCTGCTGTTGTTGTTGTTGTGGCTGCTGCTACTGCTGCTGCTGCTACAGATGTTGTTATTGTTATTGTTGATGTGGTGGTGGCTGTTGTTGTTGCTGCTGCTGCCGTTGATTTGGGGTGGAGTTACCCGATAACCGGTATAACTATCAGCGGGCGGATAGTCTGTAAAAAGAGTAAGTAAAAAGCATATATAAATAATAATAAATACAAATAAAATCGCAAACATTCATCATCGAGCTTAGATTGGCTCAGCAACGCCCACAACAACGCATGCAAAATGCGAGTGCACAGTGAGAAAAAGTTCCTAATTTAAATAAAACTATTTGAATTTGTCATGATAAAATGTTTTCCTCTTTAACTTAGCAATGAATAATAGTAGCAGTTATAAAGAACACAAAGTAGAGGAAGTCCACTATTATTATAAAAGATCTCCAATTCCTTTCAACTTTTTCTAACAGTGTCGATACCCACTTGGCCAAGTGCCCAGCCGATATCGGAGAAGGAGGGAATATCTATGGGGCCTTTAATGCCTCATGATTTTGGCTTGTGAATAGAGTCGTTGGGAGGTTCCTGTCATGAACGGACTCCTCCCACTTTCGATGTTGGCGGCCAATTGCATGCAAATCGCCTGCAACATTTTCTCATTGAGAATTATGGCTATTACTGCTTCACTTAGTTAAGCTGATTAATCAAAACTTGATTTCGTTGGAAAATTATTTTTATCTATTTCCAAGTTGGTTATTGTTGATCGCCAATCGCCGTTGACGTCATCTGAGGAACGATTCTTCCATTGTAAGGGGGAATTTTTGGGGCACGGCAGTTCTTTGAAGGGAATACTTTTACCAATTCAAAGGAATTCATGGTGACCAACTGTTTCAGATTAACTAATAAATAAATTTATAGGTACAGGAAACAGGTAAAGTGTAAATCAAAAACTTTCGGTCTTCCTTATCGATTCTTAGAAAATCGCTATAAAAAAATGTTTGGTAATTTTCTCACAATAATAAACTTTAGATTGGTAAATTTAAAATGATTAGCCGTTAAGTGATTTTACCATTAATTTGACTATCTACTGTTAAACTGTCTTTTTCTATAATGTTTTCCTTAAGTTTATTATTTCCCCCATGAGTAACGAGAACTGCATCTCATAATTAGCGCAAATGATAACCAAATGGTACACAACTTGTCAGCATTGTGGGCTACCCCCTTTTTCCAGCCCCTCCCTGGGCTTTTCCTCCCTTCGTACGTCACAGTGCCTAACGGTAAATACAACCAGTCAATTTGAATTATGACATTTCAATGTTAACAGCATTTCCCAAGAACTTCTCTCCGACGACAAGTGGATAGGTTTTGCCTCTCTTAGTTTGTCTGGTTTAAGCGAAATCTCGTTTTTCTCCTCGAGGTGTCAAAAAATGTTTAATTAAATTTAAAAGTGACAAAATCTAATTGAATGAAAATTTGTAGTAGCAATTAATTTGTGCAAGTCGGAGCACCGAAATCGCGAAAATCGCTCAGGCCAGCCACACAAGGCGAACCACCTACCACCCCTTTTCGGACCAAGTCAGGTAAATCCAATTTCAAAAGCAATTAAATGCCGGCGATAAATCAACAAGTGCAACACTTCGACTACAAGAAAACACCTCTCGAGCAGACCGACAGACCAACTGGCGCATATTTCTGGCCAAATTAGACGCTGCGTGAATTAATTTCGATTTTCTCGCTCAACTCAGGCCTAGCACTGTGGGGCGTGGACCAAATTTTCATACTTTTTTGTTGCATTGACAATTTTATGAAGTCGCCGATGGAGAGAGGCGTGGTCTAAGGGGGCCAATGGTTTGGGGAACCCACTTTTTTAATTGCCCAAAGTCACCCAGATCCCCAGGCGCTTTGTTTTCCAGTTGTTTTAGTTTCACATCAATTTACAGTACAAATTATGAATGGTTTTCTTAGGAGCAATATCTTTCGTCCTTGTTCCTTAATTTATTAACAATACCTCTTTATGGCGATTCTATGCTAGAACCCAAGATACTTTTCGAGCAGACTTATCAAGAGGGTTACAGGAGATAGAGAACTTGTTTGTCCAGCTGACCTATGCGATATGTTCTTAGGTGCAATTCGACTGATTGAGGGGTAAGAATACAAATTTCGATAATGCCCGGCTTGTTTATGCAAGGCTTTAACACAAGGCTGATTGCAGGTGGGCTTCTCTGTGATTACTGAGGGATCCAAGGGGAGAACTCAACTAATAATTCTTTGGAATTATAATAAACTAATTCAATATTTGATGAGCTTTAACAGAAGACTTTGTTATATTTAATAAGACAGCTTACCATCGACACTTGCTTTTATAAATCATTGTTATTTGTTATTTGTTGTTGTATAGCATCTTAACTCGCTTAAGTAATAAAAATATAAATATTTCTTAGTTTGCTATTATTAATTTAAGCAATTTACTATGCATTTGTAGTGGAGACATTCCCCATCAGTAAAGGATCAATAATCATAACTTGCAATTACATACTACCAGGGCTCAGATCACGTATCCAATCCCCCTCCTTGCAAGCTGCCCCACCCAAAACTGACAATCTTTTTCCAAGAAAGAGACACTCAAAAGAAGATTATCCAAGATGTTTACAGATATAACTCAGTATAACCATAGTAAAACCTTGTATATATTCCTAAGTTAAGCATAGCCATAATTTTAATTTTAGCTGAGCTGAAGGCCTTTGCTGCTATTGCTCCTAGCCATTTGTTGGCTCTTAGTTTTAACTAATTGTTAGCCTTAGATAAATAAATAAATCAATTAATAAACTGAGTATTATAGACTATAATCTTAAGCCATATATGATATCATAATATATTAACAGTTAACTTAAGCTATATCAAATGCAATGAAGAAATAAAAACCTATTAATGAACACTGATTTCCTTTCCAGTGCATTGATGATCAGGGATTCGCCGATCATAACTCAAATGTAAGAACAGAGGACGGAGCACTCCGAGGGACTTTTATGGCAGGCACGCATTCGCGCATGCGTATCATATAATTCCAATCGATAATCAATCATAAATGCGGCAGTGACAATAAGGCGTAACTCATGGGATCCAGGTAAAAATAGAGGTGGAAAGGTGGATGGGAAAAGGCTGCAAGTACAGAAGCACTTCCGTTGCCATTGAAAGCGGGCAAAAAGTGTAGTAAAGTGTTGTGGTAAAGGGTGCCAGAGAAGAGAGATATCGAGATATTGAGAGAAGCATAGGGACTTGGACCCATGTTTAAAAATAAACAAACAATGCACACACAAAAACAGAGATAAAGAACCAAACGGTCGGTCGACCAGGCCAGGCCAGCAAGAGTTTCGATTTGAGGAAAACTCAAAAATCGGGCAAGGGAAAATGAAAGGCAGGCAACTAAGAACTAAGAGCTATGATCTAAGAACTAAACTAAGAACTAAGACGAATCAAACGTACACATGATGTTGAGATTGCAGATATTATTTTATTTATTTTTATTGCACGCACACACAGACACTCGCACTGGCGCGACACCGACACCAACACCGTTGCACAAATCAGCTATCAAAATCAGCATCAAAATGTTATTCGTATGCAAATGCAAATGCAAAGGCGACCCTCCACGACGATCGACTCTCCCGTGGCAGTCACATTTCCGATTCGATCCTTATTCAATTCGATTCCCTTATCGTTTCGGAATGCGCTTCAACAATAATAACTTAATTTATTGAAGCTGTTTGCCGTATTATTTATTTTTGCCGCAAATTACGCAAAATCCCCAGAGAACGGGAGCGAGCGCGAAATCAGAAATCAACTGCACGACCGGACCGATCGACAACGAATGCCGAACGGGTTGCACACCAAACTGAATCCACCGAGTGCCGACTGACTAACTGACTAGCTGACTGACTGCCTGAATGAGTGAGTGACGAACTGACTGAGTGACTGACGAGCCGAAGGCAGCCCAACTGCATTCGTATTTCATATCTGTGTGACTGAACCAGGGATACGAAATAGTAGGAAGGCAATAAAGGAACTAAGGAATGAGGCCCTCCTTATAAAGCTACTTTTACAGTTTATCAAAGTATTTTATAATCTTTGTAAAACCAAATTAAACTTACTTTCTTGATGATCTATTATTATTAAAAAAAATTCCTCCTTATAGGTCCCCTATTTTATCGCCAACTATTCCACAGCCCTGATTTTAAAAGACCGTTGAGTGACGTATTCGTGTTTTTATGTGTGTACCCGAGTGTCAGTGTGTGTGCAGGCGGCCAAGTGCACACCACTACTCGAGCATTAAAAGTTTTGTTTTAAACAAATCGAATGCCCTATCTGCAGTTGGGCTGCCTGCACGTGAATGCTAACGTGTTCGTGTGAACAAGTCCACACTGGGAGAAAAGTGTACTTTGTCTTAATAAATATAATTTCATTTGTGATGTAAAAAACATCAAATTACTTCTTACTTATTATTAAAGCTTAAAAAATCTCAATTCTGATCTATTAATTATCGAAATATTATGGCTTTGTGATTATAGAAATTTAATTTTTTCACGTGTTTGGCCTTTGATGGTGGAGGTGGCGTCAAACCCACAATCACAATCAAACTGTAAACACCCCACCGCAACCACAACAAGTGAACGCAGGAAGAAGGGAAGTAAGCGATAAAGAGAAGGCAGCGTCAACGAATTTTTTCGTGCGTGGGTCTAGCGGGGAATCGAATTCGAAATTCATCGGAGCCCTCCTCTGTCAGGGTGTTTTGGGATACGAAAATAACCGAGATCTGAATTTCCCTTCGTGAGTTGCACAGCCAAATATTCCGGGGGAAGGAGGCAGGAGGCAAACAGCTGATGGGCGTGCTGAAAATGGCAAGTGGAGTTGCCAAATGAACCAGGAAACAATCAACAGTCATGGTCAAAATTATAGATATTTTTATAAGTTACAAGTCTGAGAATTGTTTATGAATTTAAAATATGTTTTTAATCTTATTTCTTGCTTTCCCAAGCTGATGTTATTAAACCTTTCCATATCTATCGAGTGAAATCAAGCAATCCTACCAATCTGATCCCAACTGTCAATATGTTTAGAATGCAAATATGTTCCTCCGACTGTTTTATTGCGTGCTTAACACTAGTAAACGCTAGTTTATT